CAACCTGCTTTTTCAATTCGACAATTCTTTTGACTTTCTCATCGGTGAATTTGCGTTCAGACTCAACCAGTTTTTCGCGTTGTTCGGCGGACGAATAAAAGAATCCCGAGTTAATCTCACTGCCAAAATAACATCACATCAGTGCGCGATTAGTTTTAATACTATGACCTGATTTGTTAGCAGTTACCTTTTCTCATATTCCAAGGAAACATTCAGGGTTAATATATACGCATCCTCGACTCGTTTTGGCATATCGGGGTGACGGGCGCCGTGATCTAAAACAAGTCCACGTACCAAGCGAGAATCGGTAGCTGTCTTGTGTTGCATTTTCATAATTTCCACCATATGTAGATCGATGGGTTCATTGTCACGTTTTATGGCCAACACCGCATCGACAACTGCCCCCGTTAAAGTGTCTGCGAGAGTAGCGTTAACCTTTGTGTGCAAGGAGCTACGAGCCACGTTAATCAACAATTCCCGGTCGATGACTCTTTCAACCTTGAACTTATCCAAGAACTATTGGTTGTTACCATTATCAATATCGATAGAAAAACAACGTTAAAAATGCAAGCAACTTTTAATTGAGGACTTTCGCGTGTATGTACGAATACTGAGTACCTCGAGTGCCTCCTTTCTCGCCAGGTCAAACCCCTCGGTGATAACCCTGGGGTGCAATCCTTCGGAGATGTATCTTTCGGCTTGCTTCATTAGTTCACCCACCAACAGGACGACAGATGTTGTACCATCACCGGTGATATCGTCTTGTGCAGTGGCAGCTCTTGCGATCATAGCTGCAGTTGGATTTTGTATTTGCTTAATTCAAATGAAAATCATACATCAATAAATCATTCGCAAGATAACGCCGATCTCCTCTTACGTGCGTATTTACCATTTCGCTCAGAAGGACTTTGCCATCTTTGGTGATCTTGATGTTTCCGGCACCATCGACCAGCCTAAGTACAATTTTTGAGGTTGAGGCAAACATTAAATGATGTTGAAAATCAATTGTTCAGATGCACGACCTTTCTTCAAGTTGATCGCGATCGCTTTTCAAATCAACCATAATGCTCCGAGAATATCATACATTTTTATTGTTCCCTTTGGGCCCAAGTTTGACTTTAACACATCTTGCAATCCAATGGCAGCTGTGATATTTATTTGAAGAGCCTGACCCCTTCTGGCTACCTCCGAATTTGGGTTGATTAGTTGAACGGCCGCTGACCTGTGACAAGAGAAAACTTTGAGGTTTACTCGAGAACGTTTGTTATAAAGGGATCAATTTGAAAACGTCTCATGGTAAGACATAATCTTACATCTCAACCAAGATTCTGTTACCAAAAAAAAAAAAAAAACCGCCAAACACAATGGATAGAACTCAATCTACGTACGCACCTTACGCACTTATCGTGCCGTCGTGTGACACTGATCTCGTACTTTGATTGGTCGTTACGATTCCCGCATTTAAGATGTCCAAGGTCACCTGACAAAAATATCCTAATTCGAAATAAGGAGCCCAAGATTTCGACCAATATTTTCGTTTACGTTTCCTTTATAATAAGCTTTAGAGTAGCTATTTTCATTTTTGCCATTTCACGATGAATCCCGAAGAAACGGAAGACAGCCTTTACCCCATTGCCGTGCTACTGGATGAACTGAGGGCCGATGATGTCAACTATCGATTAAACGCCATCCGAAGACTTTCCACAATTGCTTTAGCTTTGGGAGTGCAAAGAACACGAGATGAACTCATACCATTCCTTGACGGTGAGTGAAGATCCTGAACCATAACTTGCGTTTCGGGAGAACTGCTTTGTCACAGAGTGAACTTCGGTTGCACGAAACCATGATTTGGCACTTAACGAGTAAGCTGCACCTTACAGAGAACGCGCGGTTATGTTATAAAGAGAAAGGAGTTTGAGGCCTTCAAAATGAAAATTTTTTCCCGCTTGGCCCATTGATGTTTAGGATTCGAACTTATAGTTTGAAGCGACGCAAAATTACTAGATGATGATGATCCATTAGATTGTAAACTTTGGGATCATATATTTAATCGTGTTTGCAAATAACTTTCTTTTAGAATCCATTGATGACGAAGATGAGGTGCTGCTTGCATTGGCTGAAGAGCTTGGGAATTTTGTTGAATATGTTGGGGGGAAAGAATACGCGCATATCATACTTAATCCATTGGAAAACTTGGCGGCTGTCGAGGAAACGGTTGT